AGAAATGAAGAAGACGGGCATCCCTTGTCCATACGCACGAGAATGGGAATCAATCCCCTATCTAACGAAGTTCAGTCTGATTAACTTCACGCCGTTTGATGGGAAGGGTTCTCCCACTCAGCATTTGATTTACTTCAAATCGCACATGGGTGTTATCTCTGGTAATGAGCCTCTGATGGTACGGTCCTTCGTTGGCACTCTTCGCGGAGCCGCCTTCAATTGGTATCGTTGCCTCAAGCCAGGAAGCGTGAATAGCTGGGACGACATGGAGACGAGGAACCTACCGACGGCTAATCCTCTGGACTCAAACTTCGCCTCTCGTGGTAAGGGCAAAACACCTGCAGCTACTGGTGGTGCTAATCAAGCGTCACAACAGCAATCCCGAAGGCAGCAAAAGACTTCGGGTCCGAGACTCCAAAGAGAGTATTCCTTCAAGGACGAAGACGTTCCAGCCATCTTCGAATCCCTCCTTGAAGGTAACAAGATCAAGCTACCACCTATCACAAATCAGGAGGAAGCTGACAACACTACGGACCCAAAGTACTGTGCATACCACAGAAGGGTTGTTCATCCCACCAAGGATTGCTTTGCTCTCAAGAATAGCATTCAGACCTTGGTTGAAGCCGGCGTCATAACGCTGAGGTAAGCCAATTGAGAATGGCACAACTCCGACCGGTTATCGCTCAATTAAGTCGAAACAAGACTCCAAAGAGTATACGAGTATAAACTGTTTCTCAATCCTCCGACCGGTATAAGAGGTTAAACTGCTCCCTGATACTCCAATAGGTATATGAGTCTAAACTGTTTCCTTTCTTCCACGGGAAGTTCCTGGAGAGTGCCATGCGTGGTATTCTTAAGGATAACCCAATCATGCAACCGATACGATGATAAACACAGTTTCGCAAGAAAAGCTGGGGGTGGATGATTCATGTAACGGGAAGTTCCCAAGAGAAATCCATATAGTGTATTCTTAGGGATAACCCGGTCACCACAGCAAGGTGATGAATAAAAAACTCCCATTCAAATTCTCACCACTCTCATTGCTAGAGTTTGGACATAATATTCGGAATTGGTCAAACCTTTCTACAGTTAGGACCAAAACCAAAACCCCCTCTCGATTCCCCTAATGAACGAAAGGTCCACAAATCAAGCGATCAAACCTTCCTACAGTTAGGATCATCTCAAACCTCCCAATTGGTCAAACCTTCTTACAGTTAGGACCACAGTCAAAATCCCCTCTCGATTCCTCCAATGAATGAGAGGTCCACTTTCAAATCGAGTGACCGAACCTTCTTACAGTTAGGGTCATCTCAAACTCCTGCTTGGTCAAGCCTTCCTACAGTTAGGACCAAAACCACAATTCACTCTCGATAAACGAGAAATCCATCTTTAGTTCGGTAATCAAACCTTCCGACAGTTAGGGTTATCCGAATCTTTTCGATTCTCGGAGTGGAGATCCCACTCTTAGTTTTACCTTTCCGGATTCTGGGGGTGGAGATCTCACCTCGAGTCTCCTTACCAACTAGAGATAGAATATAAAATTCTTCCTCTTCAGTGTTGAGAGATAGGATATAAAATTCTTCCTCTCCCGCATCGGGTTTGTCTTTGCCCCAAGAGAAGACTCCGTTTTTTCAAACTCCTAGAATCCGTGCTTCACACGTATAGGAAGTTTATCCCGAATCCTAAGCAGGGATAAGTCTGCGCCTAACACGCACTGCCGATTTAGTCTTTTCCCGTAGAAAAAGACATCAGAGTTCGATTCTGGGGTATTCTATCCTGAAACCTAAGCAAGGATAAGTCTGCGCTTAACCCGCGCTGCCGGTCAGTTCTTAACCGTTTAAAAAGAACACCCGTTCTCACATATTTAACATTGTGGCAGGTTGTTATTAATAACACCGAAATCCATGCCTTACACGCATGGGGAATTTCATCCTGAATCCTAAGAAAGGATATGCCAACGCCTAACACACGTCGCCGGTTTAGTCTTTCTCCGTAGAAAAAGACACCAGAGTTTGATTCTGGGGCATTTTATCCTGAAGCCTAAGTAGGGATAAGTCAGCGTCTAATACACGTTGTCGGGTAGCCTATTCCCGTGACAAGGGCAAAGTCTACGTATTCGAAGTCGTAGCATCAAGTCTAAGGGAGTTCATTCCTTTAGCACAACGTCACATGCGGAACAGACTTAAAACAATCCGCATGTAAGCCTGATTCAAACGGTAATCGGTAAAAGCATGTCAAATCCGTTGAGGGCTGAGGATTTGCCAAAAATCCTAAGTCAACGTCTGATACACGTTGCTGTTTAGTCTTTTCACAGGAGAAAGACGAAGTCTACGTATTCAATATCGTAGCACTAAAAGGGATAACTCTTTTAGCACAACGTTATATGTGGAACGGATTTAGACAATCCGCATGCTAGCCCGACTCAAACGGTAGTCGGTAAAGGCTAATCAAATCCGTTGAAGGCTGGGGGTTAGCCAAAAATCCTAAAGTCAACGCCTAACACGCGTCGCCGGGTAGCCTATTCCCGTAACAATGGCGAAGTCTATGTATTCGACATCATAGCACGAAGTCTAAGGGAGTTCATTCCCTTAGCACAACGTTACATGCGGAACGGATTCCGATAATCCGCATGCTAGCCCGACTCAAACGGTAGTCGGTAAAGGCGCATCAAACCCGTTGATGGCTGAGGATTTGCCGCCGGGTAGTCTATTCCCGTGAGAAAGACGAAGTCTACGTATTCAATATCGTAGCACTAAAAGGGTTAACTCGTTTAGCACAACGTTATATGCGGAACGGATTAAAACAATCTGCATGTAAGCCCGATTCAAACGGTAGTCGGTAAGAGCACGTCAAATCCGTTGAAGCTGAGGATTTGCCAAATCTAAGTCAGTCTGCATACACGTTGCTGTTAGTCTTTTCACTAGGAGAAGACGAAGTCTACGTATTCAAAATCTGTAGCACTAAAAGGGTTAACTCTGTTTAGTTAAGTCCTGCGGACGACTTGAATCAATCCATGCTAGGCCCGACTCAAACGGTAGTCGGAATAAGGCTCTCAAAACCTTGATGCTGGGGTTGCAAAAATCCTATAATACGAGAGTCCTGACGCATACTTCATTAGTCTGGTCTCGGACTGAGCATCCAACGAATTCGAAACCCAGGGTAACGGCGCGTCAACGCGTAACGCCTAGGTTCAACTGCCAGTGCAACGCGTTGCGTCAATCAACGTACGGCGTTCAAAACCCTAAGGTCAACTGCGGACAACGCGTAACCTAGGTCAACGCCAGTCAAGGCGTTGCGATGCAAAAGTCAACGTACGAC